GGATTAATTGGTACGGGTGGAAGGCCGTACGGGGTAAAAATATTAACAAGCCCGACGGATTGCCAAAGACTGATTACGGGTGGAAGGTCGTACGGGGTAGATTCAGTCACTACCCCTACGAATTGCCAAGACTGAATACGGGTGGAAGGCCGCTCGGGATAAAATCAGTCGTAATCCCGGCGGATTGCCAAATTAATTAAGGGTTAGGAAAATAAGATTAGGTTTAAGAATTAGGAATAAGGGTCTTTTAATCCCGAGAATCCCGGAGAACCGATCCGGAAAAAGAGAAGAAGGCGTTAGGTAAATTTTAGGATTGGGGAATTAATTCAAATTTGAATTAATTCCCCCGCGAAGAGCTTGACCCAGAATAAGGTAGAGGGATCCACCAATCGACACCCGATCGATTGGTCGGCGTGATGAGGGGGGTCAGCGTCACGCGACACTGACTTCCGAAAATCAGTTGCGCATTAGTCGCGAGAAAATACGCACGTGAGTGAAGTGGAGCTCCCAGGACATAAAGAGAGTGATACAGTGTACCACCCACTGCCCGGACAATTAGCTGCCCCCAGGATGGTCCTGAAACGAAAAAGGAAGGCAGCGAGGAAATCTACCGTGAGTTTTTACGGTTATATTTCACGATTTTCCCCTTTTGGCGGCTCCCCGATAATTATTGGCGGTTGTGATATTTTTCCGAGCCATGGAAATGGCCTCGGTTGTGTCCCCCAAAGTTTGGGTGATTTTGAAGAGGTTTGGGGAGGATTTTTCCGAATAATTTCGGGGTGCATTATCCCCCCAGTGCGGTTGGGAGGTCATTGGTGTGAATTGTGGGGTTTTGAGAGTGTTTTTATGGGAGTTATGAGCGAATTTGTCCACGGCCAGCGAACAAGGCCAGTGGTTCTCCCTCGTGGTGCCATCGAGGCCGCCATCGAGCGGCTACGTGCAACACGTGGAGAATCGTGTGTAAAATTTCTTCGCGGTTATTAATTGCGTTAACAGGACTAATTATGTACCCTTACGCCTAAAATTTTGTGGGATTGCGGAGGAGAATGTCCCGAACCAGATGGTTCAGGATTTTCCGGAATCTGCTGAGTGGATCCCGAGTTATCAGATTTTAATCGAAGTCAGATTTATTTTGTGGATTTCTCTCCGCTGCTAACCGAGCAGCGCGGCATAGTGCCGTCTCTCTCGCTCTCTCTCGCTCGCGCTCACTCGTCGAGGGTCCGATTCCGGGAAATTATCGATTTCCCGGGCGAAAATAGTATTTCGGCTTGTGACGAGGCAGAATTTTGCGCCCCCCCCCC